ATGCTTGCGACTCTACATGGCTTTAAAATTGGTTCCAAATGCCTGCATCATTAGCCATATATTATTTGCTGATGACTCAATAATCTTTGAAGAGACCAAAATATGAACAATTTGTACATGTAGTGATGTGCTACAAGGGCCTAGCCACATGAGGCACTTACTAGTGAAAACACATCTTTTTAAAAGATAAATAATTTCCACCTTAATTTTGAGCAATACCACACTGTGTCCCTACTTATGGGGGTTAGAAGAAATATGCCTCGTGAGCAAAATATTGAAAAGGGGAGGGAAGCTTATGGAAGATTAATAATGTTCATTCCTTTCATAGTTACATATCCTAGAGGATAGATGGATACCAAACCCTCCATTGAAAATTATTCCACCTAATGCACTTTGGACGTCTCCGTTAGCTTCTTGGTCTCTATTGATTGACAGTTGTACTAACATCTGAAATGCTTTACAAAAATTTGCCTACGAGATTCTGAAAGTGCAGATTCATGAGGGAGAGGATAAATTGGATGGAAAATATGCATTAGAGGAGTCTAGTTCCAAAATAGAATTTGAACAGACCGATATTCTTCCTATCTATTTGGCGAGTTTCCATCAAATTGGAACACTAGCTTCCCGAAAGATACTTAGTAGTTGAAGGTTCCATCCAAAATCCAAATATTAATGTGGAGATTGTCAATAATATTCTGTCCACAATGTCCAATTTGATAAAAAAAAGCAAGCATACTTTCATTCAGGTGTCTCAACTCAAGAATTGTGGATGAACTTTTTATACGTTTAATATGAACAAGAAACAAGACTTCTTCTAACTTGTTTTGAAGTGTCTGGATCTATGTAAAATATTTGTATTCTAGTTTTTATATAAAAATTTATTTTTAATTTTATCTTTATTGCTACGATATGTTATAATGATATCAATTTTTTTTTCATGTGTCAAATAGCTATTTAACGTCATATTTTTAAATTATCTTTTGTTCTGTACAAGACAATTTTTTATAATTTAGTATCTAATTAAAAAAATTTGTATATAATTTTTTATACAGAATTTTATTTTCAATTTTGTTTCTATTATATATCATGGTAACATTTTCATGTTAATACTAAATAGTATTTTTTCATCATCTTCTTCAAAAGAGGTTTCACATTTTTCAACAAAATTTCATGTTCTACTTCATATGTTTTAAATTCATGACATTAAGTTTTATTATATAAACTAACCCATTTTTACTTTAAATCTGAATAAGAACTATCTAACAAGACTTTTGTCTTAATTCTTATCACTTCTAGTATTTTCATAATAAATATCATTATTTATCTGTTTTATCATACTTTTATAATAATTATTATTACTATTTTTATTATCTCAAATTCTAATTTTCTTACAAATATACCAAATATTAAAATTTATTTTAACCTTATGAAGACTATACTAACCTTACTTTGAACTTTACACTTAATGCTGTAAAAACACACTATAGAAAGAATAATTTTTGTTCCTCTAAAATAAGATGTCTTTAATCAATTGGTAAATAACATTAGCTCAAACTTTGATATGATTATAAGTGGCACATAAACAATTAATATGTATTACATGTTAAATTTGATAACATAATCTTTGTTATCATTATATAAATATTTTTTTACTTTAATTATTAAAATGCATGTTACTATTCTAATAATCAGATATATTAAATTTAAATAATTCATATATTATTATATATGTAAATTAATAATAAAATTTAACTTTAATTTTAAATATTACATTTACAATAAAATAAGCTTAATTATACTTTTGGTTTTTATAAAAATATTTTTAAAAAATTCTTAAATTTTTTATTAAAATTTAATTATTAATATTTTAAAAATGTTTGAAATTAGTTTTTACTGTCAAATGTCTTCGGTTAAGTAATGAACTACACAATTCACACGCGCACCAAGATTCACGCATCCGTCGGCTACTTTGTTATTACTCATTATTGATTCCGATCTCTGCATTGTTACTGCCGGTGCCAAAACGACTTGGTAGGAGGTGTCGACAACCAAAAAAGAATATAAAAATCACAGTCAAGAAGACGAAGGACCACACAACAAGCTTGGGGGATGAGGTGTGCCACCGCCACGCAGTTGAAGTACGAAGTTTTCTCCGTCTTGAACTTGCTCGAGTAGAAGGGACACTGTCAATGTGCAATATTTGCTTTAGCCGAGACATGTCAACAATGAGCTAGACTTTCATTGTCCAATTCATTATTTAATGAACAACAAAGGCAGATTATAAGTATTTTAAAAATGTCAGTGATTAAATCTTAATAGTTTTTTTTTTTTTAAAAAAACTTATTCTAAAAGGTATTACTTTTATAAATATAAAAAAAAATAATTAAATCAATAAAATATACATGATAATAATATATGGTATCTAAGTTTTTTAATTATAATTTAATTTCTAATCTTTTTAAAAAAACCAAAGTTAGTCCATATTATTAAATACTTTTTTTAGTTAATAAACATATAATTCAATATTATTATATAAAAAAAATTATGGTCACAACAGTCTTCTTCCTCTCCTTTTTTTTTCCCTTTCTTTCTTCACTTTATCATTATTCCATTATCTTTTTCTTCCTTCACTTTTTTCTTCTTGCTCTTCTCCAACTCTATTATAGTCATTTTATTACTTTTTCTAATCCCTCTTTTAAACCCACACTTTCATCGTTTAGATAGATATTTTTTTTTATTAATTTTAGAAGTTTTACATATTTTTATGATATTTATTGCTACTAAAACTAAAACTTGACATAAACACAAAATTAAAATGAAAAATAAATTAAAAATTAAACATAAGAGAAAAATAAAGTATCCTTAAAATAAAGTGATAGAATAAAATTTTAGTTAATTTTTTTAATTTGATAAACTTTTTCTTTGATAATTTTGATTTAATAATTTAATTATTGAAATATATTTTAAAAAATAAAAAATGGTATAAATTGGTCACGTCCTTACGCGTATATAGTTGGCCAAACTAAGAATCACATAACTTTTTTATTTACAAAAAGAAAACGTAAAAAAGAAGAAGCTAAAGTCTTAAATAAAAATATTAAATAAAATATTTTAAAAAAATGAGTTAATCTCAAGAAAAATATCGGTAAAAAAAGTGAATTTAATATTTTGATCAACACTCATCTAAAATTATATATACAAAAAACAATTTCTCTAAATATATAAGAATGAAATGAACATTTTAATTATGAGCCAACAAATTTAAAGTTATCTCAATAATTAAAATACATAAACAGTAAATATAAAATTACCATAAATGTATCGAATGTCATGAAAATAATTAAAATAACAAATTATAAAAAATTGTGAAGATTCCAAATAATAATAAAACTTTGGTGTATGAAAATTAATCTTAAACCAATATTTATTTGAAATAGATTAAATTTTTAAAAATAATTACTTATTTTAAAAGTTTTTAAAAATTTAATAAAAATACGCAATTATCTTTTCTAAAATATCAAATTAATCATAAATTTTAGATTATTGGCAATTTATGACAAGTTTTCTCAACAATGAGGAGAGGAATGACCTACCGGTCAACAACGTTTATTTAAATGATCCATTATTTAATGAATACTTACTTAATATTCAGCATGTTCCGCTGGAGACACAAACTAATGAGGTATGCTATATATCTTTTAATATATTGATTTTTCAAATAAATAAATAAAATATATATATTAAAAAAAGAAAGCAAAGCAAGAAATATAAAAGAACACGTGTTGGAATCTCAATGAACGTACATTCCACCATTGGTAGCCCTGCTGTCCACAAGCAGGTGATTCTTGACTTACGTGACAACATAGACAAAATAGTTTACAATATCATATTAAAATAACTTATCATTATTTGACCGGACAAATCTTTCTTGCCCAATTCGCTGTAATACAAAATGATTTATTAAAAAAAAAAAAAGGTGAATTCTATTCTTAAAATAAATAAAGTTTATTTATTAAAAGTTTTACTGTTTAGAGGACCTCTGACTCGTAAGTAATGAAAAACTATATTCATTACAAAAGTGCCCACGCACATATTTTCACATAAATAATCTACGTAATTTTTTTTATCAGTTAAATAAAGTTATTTAATCTACAAATGTTTTATGAAAAAAAAGGTTCGTTACTTTTTTTTTATTTTACATTTCTTAAAATGAAGAGAACACACAATTTTAAAAATATATAACTAAATATTAATTATAAATAAAAATAATATCCACAAATGAAGTAAAGTAGAATTATTCTTAAATGCAAAATATCATTGTTACATTATATTTTTTTCTATCTATTTGAGTACTTTAACATGTATAGGATGAAACAATGGAGTATTATATATAAAAGGAAATTACTGACTTTTTTATTTTATATTTTTATACAAGGTTTATATCTAAAACCTACACAAAACTTTCTTTAAATATATAAATACATTACAATTAAATTCTCCTATAATGGAAAAATATTTGAAAATATTAAATAATTAAACAATAAATATTTCCTGATAAAATAAAAGTAATAATAAATAATGTCAAGTCAATACAATTTGAAATTATTTTATTATTTATATCTTGTTGTTTTATAGAGAAGGGGTGAATAGTTGGAAATTTTTTTGCACAAATTCAAGGAATGTATTGTATCTAAATATAATTGGTTTAAATAATAAAGTAAAAAAAAATTAAAGGGATAGTGGTATATAACTATTTCGTGTTTTGTTTTTTCAGTAAGAAGTCATTTTTTATATAAAAAATTACAACAAGATTATTCTTGTATAAAAGAAAAAAGTTGAATTTGAAGAGAATAATAAGAAAAGAAAGCATAAAATGTTAAAATAGTGAACAGTGAAAGAAGGGAAAATAAGGTTTGGAGAAGCTGGGCAGTGAAAGATGTTGGATTAAATACGCGAGGACCCGAAAATGACTTTCAAAACCTCCGTCGTCGTTGCTTTCTCTCTCATATTCGGCAGAATCTTCGCGTTCTGAAATTTCCCTTCACATCCAACCCACTTTCCTTTTTTTCTGTCCCTTGTTATTATTATTATTTCACAATCTCACTCTCCTCTCCCCATTTATTATTTATTCCATTACCCTTCTCCCTTCTTCCCCTCACTATTCTCCCTTTCCCCTTTCACCCTGCAAATTCTGAATCTCAACAGCGACAAAGATCCAATGGGTTCGGTTCCTTCAGAACTGACCTTGGATTTACGACCGACTTTCGTTCCCAAAACCATCACTGATTTCCTCTGCCACCTCTCCTCTGCCCCCGATAAGCTTCCCAGGCTCCACGATTTCCTCGCCCGTTTGGAGGACGAACTCAGAAAGATCCACGCCTTTAAACGCGAGCTCCCTCTCTCCATGCTCCTCTTAAACGACGGTTCGTTTTATTCGTTTCCGGATTTCCCTTCTCACCTTCTAATTCAGTGTCGTCTTACGCTTTTTATCTCCTCTCTCTGTTGCAGCAATTTCAGTTGTCAGGGAGGAATCGGAGAAATGCAGGGCTCGTAATTCGGTACCAGTGCTGGAAGAGTTTATTCCCCTGAAGAAAGAGCGCGATGAGAACGAGGATAACGATAACAAAGACACGGAATGCAGGGATAAGAAGAATTGGATGAGTTCGGTTCAGCTCTGGAACAACACTGCCACTTGTAATAATGACGCCTCTGATCACAAACAACATCGTAAATTAGAAATCAAGGTACAACAATGACTAAAAATGAGTCTTATTTATTTAACCTTGAAAACTTAAACATAGTAATTTCTTACAGAGGTTTTTTTCTCTTTTGTTTGTTGATGGCAGAAGAGTGAAGAAGAAGGGCAATCTGTGGGTGAGGACCCATTTCAATCTTGTAGTTATAGAAACGGAGGAGGGAGAGGTTTTATGCCTTTCTCTGCATACACTTGTTCCTCTTCTTCTTCTGTCCCTGTGAGAACAGTGGCACTGGGAAACAAAGAAGAGAAGGAAGATAGTGTTGTGAATAGACTTTCTCTTTTAAGCCCTCCAGTGAAGAGCTTCAAAGAAGGGTGTGGTTCCAGGGGATCAAGAAGCAGCAGTTCCAATAGGGCTGTTTCTTCATCTCCTCCTACGGTTCAACCTAGTTTGCGTGCAGCACCGCTTCAGCACCAACAGACAGCGAGGAAACAGAGGAGGTGCTGGTCCCCTGAGTTGCATCGTAGATTTGTTAATGCTTTGCAGAAACTCGGTGGCTCTCAAGGTTAGAACTAAAGAAATTCAAACATTTTTTTGTTTATTTTAAATATTGGCTTTTGACACCTGATTTTTGTGATCTATCTGTATTTCACTCTCTTAAACTAGGAATACCAAGTTATTAAAAACCTCTTTTGATGGGCTTTCAGAAAACACTCAATTTTGATCAATTTGGAGATCGTAGGTTAGTAAATTGAGGTTTGTTGATTGAAATTTAAGGAGTGTTTTGTTTAGTTCATGGGGAAAGTTTTGACTTGCTTATTAGTTAGATCAGCGAGGACACGGATGGGTTAGGAATAGGAGTGTTATATGGACTGCATTATCTGTAGGTTTAATGATATTGTTGAAAACCAAAGCAAATTCGGTCCATTTGGGTACTAAGTTTCTGTTTGTTGTATCAATTGCAGCGGCAACACCAAAGCAAATTAGAGAGCTCATGCAGGTTGATGGGCTGACTAATGATGAAGTGAAGAGCCATTTACAAGTGAGTTCTTGGTATTTTTTTTTTAATCTCTTAACTGTGTGGTGATGAGGCATTCCATTTAGGAAAAAGAAAAGAATGATGTAGAGATTTGCTTGTGGTTGATGTATGGTCGTTGATTATGGCAGAAATATCGACTTCATACGCGGAGAGTTCCAACTGCAAGTGGGAATCAGCCAGTTGTAGTTCTTGGAAGCTTGTGGATGTCTCAAGATCAGTACAATGACTCTTCAAAGGTTAGCAGTTCAGGGTCTGGTTCTCCTCAAAGTCCCCTTCATTTAGGTGCAGGGTGCAGGGGAGGGACATCCCCAACTGAGGGTGACAGCATGGAAGATGATGAAGATGCAAAATCCGAGAGTTATAGCTGGAAAAGTCAGTTGCACAAAGCTGCAAAAGTTGATGTATAGATACTACTCTCCACCATGAATTTTGCAGATAAAAGTATACATGGGAGGAGTTTTACGACTATATAAGAATAACCAATACATGAATACATAAAAAGAAGGTCAACGGAGAGAGGCTGTTGCAGTTTTTGAAGGTTTACTTTAGCTTGCCTTCTATACAACCTGAGTTTTCATACCAGACCCCCCATTAAAATATCCCTTTTCTTCTTGACGTTAAGGAGCAGGTCATATTTTTACATGTCATAAAATTCTTTCATTTCTTTTTGTCACGAGAACTCTGTGATGCCTCAGAAGTAATTAATTAGTCACATATTTAGATGGGTTTATCTTGCATGTTTGGGTGGATAATTTTGCTTGATTTCTTCTCTTACTTTATTTACACAAATAAATCACTTCACAAATTTCAGAGGTGTCTTATCATAATTGATCATTTTTTTCCTCGTACTCTTGTTATTTTTTTCCCCCAGCATCAAACGACGCCTTGTTCTGTGCACACAAGCAGTAGCACTGAACGAGAAACATTTCTGCCATTTCATGTTCAGGTCTGGACTCTGGCTATGTTTGCAATGTGTCAAATCAAAGCACGGCCTTTAAAAGGCAAATTCTATTTACTCACTGTCTTATTAATGAAACTGCGGCGGAATGATCTTTCGCCTGATAAATTTATGTTAAAAGAATCAATTATAAAAAAATAATATTGAAAATAAATAAAAAAAATTATTGTTTTTTTAGTCATTATATATATATATATATATATTGTATTTCTATTTTAAAAAAATAAATTAAAAAATAAAATATAGAAACAACACAAGTTTTTTGAGGTGTAGTTATTAATTTTAGCCTCAACTGATAGTTTGTTGATATATCTACTGTTTCTTATGAATTTAGTTTTTGTCGATCATATTGTTTGATTATAATAACAAATCGAATTTAAAAAAAAACATTTTATTTATAATTCTCATCCTGTAGGCGATAATTTTTATTTTTTTTACCAAACAATGAAGGGAGTGTTCTAAAAAAAGATTCTACACCAAGAAAAATTAGAGTCAAGCTAAAACGTCACATTTAAGAAATTCAAATCATACCTACTTATATTAACATATATAAATACCTATATAATTAAACGATAACATAAAAAATGTTAAAATTAAATCTATACCAAGCAAAGTGTTAAATTAAGTATTTAGCTTACTGTCAAGTGAAATCTTATTAAATCATTAATGATAGATGTGCCTTGGTGCATATAAAAAGGTTTTTCTTTTACAAGGCATAAAATAAGTTGTTTCTTATTTTATTAAATGACAAATATTTATACTTTAGTCATGTATTTATTATGTCTTAAGATAATTTTTAAAATTAAATGTGAAGACTATTTATACATTGTTTATTATATTTTTTTAGCAAATCAAACTTACCATTAAAATGTAACAAAAAATTTACCAAGTACAAATAGACGTGTCACACTTTAAGAATTGTACAGTAATTTGTTCTGTTCTTACATTTATTGGATTAGCATAGCATAGATGTGCCCTTCAAGTCTCCGTGAGTCATCTCATGTAAAATTATTTCGCGTCATTATCTCTAAGATACTCTATCCATCCTCATTAATGTGGGGTTGTGTATATTTAACTTAGTCACAGCTCTATAACTTTGGTTGATAGCAACTCCAAATTATTTCTAACTTAGTGCTTAGGCGTGTTCGGGGAACAGCAAATAAGAGGGAAAATATCTATCCATCTTTCTTTCAAATCCAATTTACAGATACGGTCAATGAAAACCAGAAATAAAAGATTCACTTGGGAACCATTATTAAAATTATCAAATAGTAATATTGTTCTTTGATATCATATTGCTTATTTTAGCGATTGTCAACATTTTATTAATATAAATATAAACGAATATTTGAAGATGTAAACCATTAATAGTTTTGAAATGTATATTATATCTCTTTTATCGTATATTATAATTAAAGTGACAATTTTGTGAGTCTATGATGCTTATCATTGCAATCACTATTTTAATTAGTCAAAGGCTTGAACTTGAAACCTCATTTTGTCCTTTTACCTAACGCTAGTATCCCACATGGGAGAAAAAAAAACGTCAGCTATTAATGTTAATGAATTATCAAGGATGAAGGTTCATGCATGACAAAAGAGTCACTTTCAGAAACAAAATTATAGTGGAGAATCTTGCAAACAAAATAATGAAGGAGCCCACAGTGATATTCATTTATAATTATGGTGTGTATTGTCTGTTTGGTGAAATGCGCGAGTGAAAATGATAGAATCTCTCTCATTGTTATCTTTACAGCTTCAAAACCAGGTTCAGCTTATCCTAACCAACTACCATAATTTAAATATCTAGTTAGATTTCAAAAATCTGAACAATATTCTCTTTTAGATAAGATAATATGAATACGAAAACAATGAATACATTATACTATTACATTAAAATGAAGAATAGCAAACCCACATGGCAACTAAAATAAAATAAAAATTATATAATTATATTAATGGAAGCATCTATCTGGTCTGGTCCCGCTTGAGAAGAAACCATTCTTGAGAAAGATTCTTTCAAAGAGCAGCCAACTGGTAATTTTCCATTGATTTGTATGATACCAATATGTATGAAATTAACAAGGAAATGCCACCAAGAGTCCACACGTCAAGATGCGTTCGGCGAAAAGGCCAACTACCACCCACCAATAATTAATATAAATTTATTCAATTTTTTACCTAACTTGTTTTGGTTTGGTTTCCAAAATCTACATGAAATTTGCTTATGTCGTTTGTGTCTCTCTCTCCACTTTGTTCAGAATCTTCTGAATACGATGGAACATGAACACAGACAAATTTGCTCTTAAGCTTCAATTTAGATAATATTTTTTAATCTTATATTCATTGTTAAGGTTATGGACACTTCTTTTATAATTTTTGTTGAGATTCCATTCCTTCAAAATGTAGGTTGTAATGTTTTCTTGACTAATTACGTCGTTATTTGTTTCTCTTTTTTGCTGTAATAAGAATGTTAAAGAATTACTAACTTGTGTAACGTTTTTCATATATAATTAATAAGTTAATATATTTGTTGATGTACATGCATAATTTAATATAGACATCTTTCCATAATTTAGTACAGTAAACATGCTAAAGTTAAAATCAGGCTTTTGACTTATAAAATGCAATATTTATTAATCTTATTTTTAATGGTTGATTTAAATTAATTATAATACTTTATTAGTCAAATGAGATAAGACAGTTTAAATTATTCTATGATTTTGTCTAACCTATATACTCTGACCTAACACAATCACGCACAAATTAATTAGATTAAGTTTTTATTATATTTACACATTATCAAGTTTCTACAAGTTTAGGGTTCTTCTCAGATTTAAAATTTCACATTATTAAAAATAAAGGCTGAGTAGAGGATAAGTATAACTCAACTTATTTCATGATGCATATTTTATTAGCATTATTTCCTGTTTTATACCATACCTCTAGATGCTTTTATTTATTATAAAAAATTGATATATCATGATATTTGTTTATCTCTTAGAAGTAAAAATTAATAATTATGTATTCTTATAAATTTTTGCACATAATATTTATTTCAAATTGAGAAGATCTAAAGAACTAGAGTCTTAATTTGAAAGGAAAGTATAACTATTAAGCAAGTGAACTTAACTTATCATCGTAAATTCAATCTTGATTTGAGCTTTGAACTGAGGATGTATTGGATTATATGAAAGAAGGATTGTAACCCTAACCATTGTTGTTTCATCTCATCATGTTGATTCTTGTGATTTGTTATGTTATTTTGTGAACTCTTTTTTATGAATACATATTCAATCCTAAAATTTAGTGAAAACAGGGATATTTTTGTTAGTCGGTAGTAAAATTTATATTATTATATAAATGATACTCATATTTATTATTATTTAGACTTAATTATATTTTTGACTCCTATAGTTTAATTTATCTATTATTATTATTTGCACTTACCAAATTTTCCCCATCAAAATGGCAGAAATTGAAGTATAGCTTAGGAATTGAGAACAACTGAGAGAAATTTTTGTATCCCTATCTTCACCACAATAACCTTAAAAAAGTAGAGCTTCAATCTAATTTATGTTTCTCCTCATTTTTAAGCCTGCACAAAAAAATTTATTGTTTGTTTATCCTTCATTGAGCCACCTTGACCAAGGCTTCTGAAAAGGCTTAAGCCCAATATAAGCATGTATAATTTGTGGATTTCCTCTTCAAGTGAGTTTACATTTTGTCTAAATTTTAAAATATTTTTTTCAGCATTTTATGTTACTATTTAGCATTTAATTTTTTTTTTTCTTCAGGACATATGCTGACCAGCTCGCATAAATTTACGTTTTACCAACTATCTTGAACCAATTTGGAGAAAGTTCTGAGTTGAAACCAATAATTATTGAAACTAAAGGGTTTGATTGCCCAATATAAGTTTCCTTGTCTAAGGATGATAGGGCAATACGATCTTAAAATTTTGCTACGTAGCAAAGCTAATTCTTGATTTTAATTTTATGATTCTGATAATAATTAGGAAGTTCATAAAACAAATAAAAACTATATAACCTCAATCCAGAAAAGAATAAAATTATTGGCCCTTTTCTCTTTTATTTGGGGCCAACATATTTTTAAAGAATATGACAAAAACCACATTCATTTGGGCCAAATTTTAGGTGTAGGCCTTTAAACGTGATAGTTCCATCTTAGTTAGAACTTGAGGTCTTGGACCAAAAAGAAAAAGAAAAACTTAAGGTCCAAAATGCTTGTAAATTATACATGTGGCTGAATCATGAATATGACAGTTCTCCATTACATGTAATATATACACTTACTACGATCAGATGAAGGATAACTGGATAAGGATTGTATGCAATTCAATCCTACTATATCAGGATAAATTAGTAAAGAATATATATCACAGAGTTTATAGCTAGTGGTAATTAAAAGTGTACACGCAAGAGCATGGTGCGTTTTATGCGTATCCAATTATACAAGAAGGGTCTTTCCGTATTATTTTTATGTTGAAAAGGTGTAATATTAACTAGGAAACCAAAAAAGAAAAAAGATTGATACCTAGATAGTGTCATGGAGGGAGGTATTATTATTATTATTATTATTAAGAAGTGAAATGAAGTTAGTTTTGACCGTATTAATGGCAATGAAGAGTGGAAGCATTTGATTTGAGGAAGGAGCATGGTTTGAGGGATTTGCAAAATGGAAATTTTTGGGAGAATAGTAACCTTAAAAGATTTAGTCAAAAGGCCACAAGTGACGGTCTTTGGGCGCGAAACGTGGATTCAATATCGTAACAATGGAAAAGCAGTTATAGGCTGAGGGTACTCATCACTACGTTTCACAATCACATATACCATCATTCTCCCAATCACACGCACACATAGAGATTAAAGAGAGAGCCTAAAGAAAAATGGCACAGGCACTACCTGAAGAGAAGATCCATGAAAACCCAGAAAAGGATATCCAAGAAACAGGGAATTCTAGCTTCAAATTCAATGCCCAAGCGCCTGAATTTGTCCCAAGATCGCATACCCAGATGCAGATTTCGGGTTATTTCTATCCCTGCTTCCAGATTCTTGGCAGCTCTGGTGATTCTGAATGGTTCTATGTTGGGGACCAAGACCCTACTTGTTTGATCCCTGCTACAAATGTTGCGCTACCCAATTGCTCCAAGAATATCCTTACACCTGATCTTCAGCAAAAGATCGTTAAACAGGTGCCCCCTCTTCTGTGATTCTTATAGTTTTAATCATTTCTAATCAAAATGCAATTTTTCTTGCATAATCTTTCATGAACTTTAATTACTTTCTTTGGATTTTAGATGGACGTTATAATTATGAGGTATTTTTTTATTATTTTAAATGTTTGAGTAAAATGAGATTTTGATCAACCCCATTGCGGGAAATGAATTGATGTTTGTATATTCTTTTAGTTCAATTCTTTGATAAGAAAATCAGTTATAGGGTTTTGTACAAATTTTGTTACGGTAACGTGTAAAACTTGCATTGTTTATCAAATTTTAAAGATGGTGTGGATGTAATAGGTGGAGTATCAGTTCAGTGATATGAGCTTGTTAGCAAATGAATCTTTCCAGAAACAGGTGAACAAAGACCCTGAAGGTTATGGTAAGGATTTTGGAATTCTGTTTAGGTTTAACCCTCCCTCCCTTCTAAGATTGGAATGATTAATCTCATTCATTTATTGATGTTGGTTTTGCCACAGTTCCAATAACCGTAATTGCTTCCACCAAAAAGATTAAGTCTCTCGTTACTAACATTCCTCTGCTTACCCAATCTCTCCGTACCTCTTCAAAACTTGTAAGTATTTTGGATGGAAGAAGGCTTTTTTATTTTATTCTTTTCTTTGGTCTTCTTCAATTTGCTCTCTGACAATGCAACTTTTGAAGGTTTTGAGTGCTGATGGCAAGAAGGTTAAACGTAAACACCCTTTTACTGAGAAAGACAGAGAGGAGTTGCAAGTAAAGAAATTAGATGTTCTTTTTGTCCACATTGATAATCTTACAATTTCTTCTATTTGTAGCCTAATGCAAATCGCTTTTCTCTTTCTCTTGCAGTCTCGTACTGTTGTGGCTGAGAATTTACCTGAGGATCATTCCCATCAAAATCTTCAGAAGATATTCACAACGGTTGGGAGGTGAGTTTCTTCTGTCCACCCTTTGTTCAATTATATGAACTTCACATTCTTGCAGTTTCTTATATTTTGAAAACACTGTAATGGATGGCTTATATATGTCAACAGCGTGAAAACAATCAGAATATGCCATCCCCCGGAATCTAATTCTTCTCGCCCAAAAAGTGATTTCTTCGTCAGTAACAAGGTACAGAAACAATGTCATACCATATTACTATGTTGTCTTAAGAAGTCAAATGATACTTACGAGATTTTCTTACCCTTTGTTGCTTGCGTTGCGCCTCTTAATCAAGCTCCATGCACTCGTGGAGTATGAAACATCTGAAATAGCTGAGAAAGCTGTGAGTAATTCTTCAATAACTTTTAGCTTTAAGATTCATATGATTTCAATTATTAACTCGTTAAACCTTTCTTACTTGATTAGGTTGAGAAGTTGAATGATGAAAGGAATTGGAGGAAAGGGATGCGAGTAAGGCTGCTTCTTAGATGCTCGGTATGTACTTGTGTACCTGATATTAATGCTTCTGCGTGTCTATTGTATATCTCTTGAATCTCATGTTATTTCCTAATGGATTTTTTTATGTAACTTGCAGCCAAAATCTGTTCTGAAGAATAGGAAGTCGGAATTTGATGGCTATATAGATGACGATGAGGTTCTAAATTCTGAAACTGCTGAGGATTCTTCTCACTCAAACAATGCTGAATCATTTGAGACAAATGTAAGTGTCATTGCATGTATCGCTAGTCACATCTAATACATGGACGTGTTAGTCATTTCTTTCAAATGCAATATAAATTCATGACATTCTTACAATTAATATATGCATGTGAAAGTAAGTTGTGCTAAACAAATTGTACGGAAACTGGATGTTGATCCCTTTTTCAATAAGCACAAGCCTTTTTTTCTTTACTTGCATTCAAATTTGGATAAACATCTTATTTAGCAGAAAAAATATTAGAAAATAAAATAAGTCAAAAATTTATTTTAAATATATCAATATATGCATCTAAGCATTTACAGAAGTTAGATGAGAATTTTAAAAAAGTGAAGGTACATGAGTAAATTTATTTTACCTTCTTATTTTCTTCTTCAAATGAAAAGTTTATCTAAACAGAATCAATGAGAATTTATTTTCCATCAACAGCACATGTCCTGAAATGAGGGTTATTGTGAATTTGAAGGTTGATGAGAATTCAGGGGTGTCCAAGAAAGGATGGGCCAGAGGCCGTGGAAAGGGCAGAGGACGGATTCAAAGCCACACTGGACGTGGCTTGCTTGCTCCACCATCTCAATCAAGCAGCATTGCCCTGGGTGATGCATCTCCTAAAGCCAATACTAAGGGCCCAAGAATGCCAGATGGGACAAGAGGCTTCACCATGGGACGGGGCAAGCCAATCATTTCTCCTGCTCTAGTTAGTTCAGCTCAGGAGTAATGGGTATTTTTTCAAGTTTTTCCCTTTGCTCTATAGTGAACTTTAGGAAATTTCTTATTTTTTCACCACAGTATTCAAAAGCAACAAAATGATTTAGATGTGTCCCTATAATGTGGGCTACAGGGGTAGTCCTAGTTTAGTAATAAGTCAAGGTGTATAGTGTTATATGTTATGGTGGATCATGATGACAGTGGCCACAAAGATCCCAAATCCTGCTTTCCTAGCTTTCAATTTAGTTGAGAGAGGTATATTGTTTTTAATGACACAAATCAGTGCTTGCTGTTATTGTACACTAAATTTGTTTTGAGTTTGAATAAGAGACCTATGGTAGGTTTCCATTCATGTTTCCATCGATATAAATTTATAAATTTCTCCCTCCCTTTCGAAGTCATGAAATCTTTTATTATATACTTGTTAAATAAGAGTTATTTTCTATTTTTATTGATTGGACTTTACAAAATAACGGTCAAAGTGATTGTTTTACAGAATTTAATCATATTATTTGATTTTTAAAAAATGGTATGAAATGAAATAACTACCTTAGTTAAGGCTTTTTTTTCTTTTACTTTAGAGACTTTCTTTGCCATAGATTGAGAGACCATTTTAAAAAATTTCTGTAAAAAAAAAGACTTGTTAAGATACTTTTGGATACCTTCAAGTGCTCGTAGAGCAGTATAACTTTTTTTCAAATAATTATTTAATTGAATTTTTTATACTACATATCTTTATCTTATTTTATATTTATACAACTACTTAAAAATATTTGTGCTTTCTATCTCCAAGGCCTTGAAATAAACTTTTTTAGTTTTCTTTACACTTTGAATGAAATGAATTTTAAGGATAGAAAAGGAAATGACGAGAAAATAAATATTGTTTTGAGTTTGGATGAGGAGACGCAAAGAAGAGCATTATTTTTTGTGTCTTACCATAAAAAAATCTTTCCAAAAATAGTGGAAGGGAGAGAATTTTTTCTAAAAAATATAGAAAAGAGAAAAATAGTGGAAGGAAGAAAAAAAGATCAAGTAAGTATTTATTATACATTTTTACTATAAATATATCATACATCCATTCAATCACATAATATTCTTAAAAAAAATAAATTACAAAATCGTCACCGATCACTATACTTCTTAATTACAAAAGCCCCTACCTAAACCATTCTTTCTCCCTTCTCTCTTTCAAACCACCACTTTCAACCTAGAAAAAAAAAATTATTACTTTCTTCTCCAAATCATCACCTTCCACCACCCAACTCTCATTCTTTTTCTTCTTTTATGAATCATCATCTACCATGAAAAATACTTCTATTATCCATTTTTTTGTTTTCTATTTTCCTCTCTCATACAAAAACCATTATTTAAAGAAAGATTTTTTTTTTTATCATCTTTACTTCAAATCTTTACCATGTTTTTTCTTGAAAAATGAAATTTCATGCTCCTAAAAACCCTAGAGCTTAGATCTGAAATCCTAGAAAATTTTGCAGTTTGTACATTTATTTTTTGTAGGTTTGGTGCCTAATTTTTGTTGACCCTTTTTTTTTACTAGTCTGGTGGCCCAATTTGGCTGTTTACTTTTTGTTGACTTTTTTGGGTTAGTCTAGTGGCCCAATTCAGCTGTTGACTTTTTTTTTATTTTAATCATTTGTTTGCATTTTATTTATTTATTTTTCCTTTTTTTAGCATCATCATCTTTTATTATATTATATAATTTTACAATGTTAGTGCAATTTAGTTTTATATTCATGTTTTACCTTTTATGTCATGATTAGTAAATTATAATTTTTAATTTATAATATTAATATATAATTTCTCTACTACCATGTGTTATAATTGATAAAACTCATGTTACCTATATTTTATGTAATATAAATTTATAATATGTTATCTTTAATTAGATAATTATTTTAATAATCAACCAAGAGACGTTTTCTTTTTAATTACTAATATACTAATTGATTAATTTAAATTGAAGATATTTTATTAATATAACAGTTTATAGTGCTAATGTGTAGCGATTCTATTTTTATACATTATAAATTGTAAAAACTCATCCACTAATGTTACCTTAGGTTTATATACTATCAATATAAAAAAAATATTTTTCAACTTCTAAAATTAATTAATTATATTTTTATTTAATTAAAATTTATCATCATGAATTAATACAACAATTTATATTATTATTGTGTAGTATTTCTACCTTTATATACTTTAAATCGTTAAGACTCTCGTGTATCAAAGTTACCTTGAATCTTATGCAATATAAATTTATCAAATGAAGTTTTAATTTTCTTATTAAGTAATTATATTATTTAATTAATTCAAAAATATTTATTCTTTTCATTAAAATTAATTTCATATGTTAAATTTTCTTAAGTTATATATTTAATTTTGATAAATTAAATAATCAAACTTTTGTTTACTTAATTGTATTTTTTTATTTTATTATACAAATTTTTGTAAAGTTGATGTGTAATTTACGTTGCCTTCAATTGTTCAATAAATCATACAGAATTTATGTATAGCTTACATTATTTTAAATTCTCTTCTTCCAACATGAATCTTTAAATTCAAGTATAAATTCAAACTCTTTTTTATTTATTTATTTACAAATATTTTAATGATTTGGAATTTAGATATGTGATCTCCTTTTGCCTTCTATATTGCTTATAGTAGAATATGTGTATAATTGCGTTATCTTATATTCTAAATGTTACAATTTTATAAAATATTTTTAATCTTAAAATGAACTTTCTTTTACTAAGTTTAATTCAATCAACCAAATTTGTAATATTTTAAATAGAATTGTGTGACTTTGACTTCTTCATTGCATTTGGGAGTAAGTAGGAATGAGAATTAGATTTGTTAATTCAGAAAAAATTTCAGAAATTTTCATTTTTTAAAATATCAATTATTTCAATAAATAATTTAACTTCTTTTAAAATAAAGATAATAATAATAATAATAATAATAATAATAATAGTTTAGGGGTTAAATAAATATTTTTTAAATAAAAATAAAATTGCATAATTAGTTTAAAGTAACTGTAATTTAAACAAACGTTGTAGAGTGCTAATACCTTTCCTACATGTAAATGACTCTCGAACTCATTTTTTGTTTCAAAGATCATATTATTTTAAAAGTTTTTCTAAGATTTCTTTAAATAAATTTTGGTGGTGTTTCATCTGATTTTTAGAAAATATTTTTATTTTTAAAAAATATTTTTCTTAAACAGGTTTTGCTCTACCATTATGACACCCGGTTATGACAAATACTACTATTCAATTAACTTTAATGATACCTTTGTGGTTGCAAGTATTTTAAAAAATGAGTTACATGTTTCTTCATTTCTCTTATTATTTTCTATGTATTTGTTCTTATTATTATGTTTTGAACATTTTTTGCAAAATCTAAATCATGTCTACTATGTATAAGTAAGATGATTAACCATTTAAAAATTGACATGAGGTAGGAGACATATGACACAATTAAAAAGAAAATTCAATTAAATTAAATCCTTACCTCAAAAGTTGATAACATAAAATGTTAAAATACCTTCTAAAATGTTTGTAACTTTTATGTTTGCCAAATATATTTAATTAGGGTAATTTTTCTTGATAATAATATAGATTTAAGTCTGTTGATAGTAAAATAATTATTGTTTTAAAATGACATATTGCTTAAGCAAATTGTATATTTGCTTAAACAAGAATACTATTGGATTAAGCAGAATATTATTAGGTTAAGTAAAATTTACCTTGCTTAAACAAAAATTAATGACTTAAACAAACTTTGATGAAATTTGAATATTCATCATTGTATAAAATTAACTTAAATAAAAATTATAGAAAATAAATATTTTACTATTTTTAGTGTTCGAGCTATACAACAATAATTCAAATTAGAAATCAATCATTAACTTTGACTATTTATCTTCAAATTAACTTAATTATTTGACAACTAATAATACAATTATATGTGGTGCCTAGTTGCAACTTGGAAGTCCAAATAAAAAAAGCAACTTTTAATTCTTGCAAATCTTCCAACTTATTTGAAGCTTGATTTAATACTTTAATATTGTCTCTTAATATAGTCTTTTTTTAATTTCTAGATTTTTATTTTATCCTTTAAATTGGTTAAGTTTATTGATAAGTTTGTAATTAGATCCTATTTTACAGCGCATATATTTATATTTGACTTTTATTTTATTTGGTGCTCACACTAATTTATATATTAATTATACAATTTCGTATAAAGATGTCGCAAGTATAATTTGAGTGTGTTTTGGGCCCAAATTGATAAAAGATTAAAGTTTTACAGCAGTCAGCACACTCAGACCCTTTCAATAAGCACAAGGGTGCTTCGAGCCCATGCACGGTCGTGGTTAAGGCCTTGCACGGCCGTGCCCATCTGCGAGAAACTCAATTATCAAGAGTCAATAGGGTTTTCAAACCTATTAAAAAGGAGATCTTAGGCATCGAAAGTGGGACTGTTTTACATCTAGTTTTTGGCTTTCAGATACACTTCTCATCTTGTCTCTCTTGCACGAGATCCTTGGCATATGCTTGGCGAGACTTGGAGCTTCAAGCGATCGTACTTGAAGAACAGAAACACATCTCATACTCTAGTTTGCTATTTTTTTTTATTATGACTTTGTTTATGATTGTTTTAATTTTTTTCTTTAGCGTGATTAACTAAGTCCATAGCTAGGGTTATGAGAACTATTGTTCATGAATTTATGGAATTTTGATGTTTGAATCTAAATTTGATTTCTGTTTTGTGATTAGATTTTATTCTATTGCACTTTTTTCTTAATCTTAATTAATTATATCGTCAGACGACCGTACCTCGGTTAATTAATAGATCTATAGGGTAAAATGAGACAAAGGATTAGGTGGATCAAACCAATCTTTCTCTTCTAATCATTATTAAATTAACAAGTTCATAGATTCCTTAAACTTTCTTAAATTGATGTCTTGCATGACCATTGAGGATGTTAATTTAGAGAAAAAAATATTAATACTACATCACCATTGGGTATTAATAGTATTCGTATGAATGATTGGTAATCACAAAGAAATTGAATTTAGAGTTAAACAGGAAAATAACATAAAGGATTGAATGAGAAAACTCATATGTCCTAAGTTCCTTTCCAATAAGTTTAACTAAAACGTGCATT